GAAAGGATATACTTATCAGCCTGCAGAAATCTCCAATCTTTTAGGTTCCCATAGAGGGCAACATTGTATAAAAGATGGTGAGCTAAGAATCTGCCAATTCATCTCTGTTGATATGCTTTAAAGAAAACTGCTGTTACCATAAATTTGATGCTGCACTTCCCCTCAAACTCTGACTAATATATAAAATGATGCACACAAAAACTCAGAGGAGAGCCTCATCAAAGACGAAGAAAATTAATTCGGTATCCTACTTACTGGTAGATTACTTGAGTGAATAGCCTCCACTTTCACCTATAATTGGACTCAATCACTGAATCTCAGATACTAGATTGCATTCTATCATTTAAATACTCCACACACACATACTTGTGTGTATGTGTAATGACTCTATATATTATAGTCATTATATACATACAGGCTATATATGGTATATAAATGTCATATATCACTGATTTTATATGTATAGCTTATTATATGTATAGCTAACCAAAAGTTTGGTGGTTCGAACTCACCAGCCAGTCTGTGGGAGGAAGATGTGGCAGTCTACTTCTGTAAAGATTACAGCCTTGGAAGCCCTATGGGGGCAGTTCTACTCTGTCCTATAGGGTTGCTAGTAGTTGGAATCCACTTGATGGTAACGGGTTTTGGTTTTGAATACTTGCCTGTATGCCATACTTCAGATGCATTTCTACTTTCAGAGTGATGACTTTCTTAACTCCCTATGTTAGGAGATGTGCTTTGCAAGGTTATTTTTATTATTTCATCTTGGAAGTATTTTAAGGCTAACATAAATGAACTAAAATGGGTAAAGTTATAAATCAGATTTACACTCCTTTAGTCATAGAAATCTAGTCTATTAAAAACGGAAGTATAGACCTTTTACTTAGTATATTACTTTGTACACAAAAATCAAACAAATTGGTTAGTTTAAATTAAATTATGCTAACTCTGAAATAAAATTTATTACTCCTCAAGTACGCCTCAATCCACCAACATAACTAAGGTAATCAAACAATTTGTGTGTATATGTGTGTGTGTTTTTGCAATTAATAGAGGTACATTTGGAACAATCTGGTTTATATCCATATGTCAGAGTATCAGATAATCTTAGGAAGAATTATTCTTCCATCATCAACTGTCATTTGTCCCAGCAGTTCTATGTCCACTATTAGGATGATACAGGGAGAAAAGGTATTTGTTGAACCCAATATTCTCAGTCATAGTCGTCAGCAAAGGCTAGTTTCAACATGCCTGCTTTGATGAGACACTCAGTACCAGAATTATTTTATGTTTAAATCATTTAAAAAGCACATTAGGGCTTGCAAAAGATGTTCTCATACATGGTTTTATTTGAGCCTCCCAAGGATCCTATGATTAATTAGTACAGTACTATCCACATTGTAAAAGTTAGCACATTGAGACACGAGTAAATCTGGCATGAACAGCAGGATTCAATGACTCCTAGCCCCTATACCAAAGAGTTTCTCGGAAGGAATCTATCAGGAGAATGCTGTTTCATATTATGCTGTAGGCAGGTGACCTTTCAAGTGGCTGTCTAAAACCCTATGCTCTATCATGCATTTGGTAAAATAAAGAAGGAATTTAAGGGGCATGCTTTCAATCTATCCAGCAAATTATCATAATTTGGCATCATTCAAATTACAACATCTGGTCCACAAATAAATTACACCAAAAAAAGTTATCTATACTAAGAACTGGGCTAAAGATCAGTATAGCAGGAAGGATTTAAGATAGGCTTTGGAAATACTAAGCAGCATGGAGAATCACTGTCACTGAAATACGCAAATGGAGGAAATAAACGGAGGTAAATTTGTGAGATTTTGTATACTTTATTTAAATTATACGTTGCCTTTTTCTGGTTTGAAAAAGAAGACTGGACTAGAGAATTTCTCAAATACATACTATGACATTACAATCTAGATCACTAGTCTGAGTGTCTCATTCTGGGGACTCATAACACACATGTACACACTCACACACACACAGACACACAAAGTAGAAGCAAAACATTTCTTACTTCTAAACATGTTCAATGCCTTTGATACTTTCTTTTTGTGTTCTCTTCCATTCCATGCCATTTCATTCCATTCTATTTAATAGTCAGTTTGAAAATGCTGATCTTAATCTACTAATGTAAATGCACATAATAAGCCAAGGCTTTAATTCTGAAAAATAAAAATTAAGATTCTCTCTCTACATATATATGCAATGCTGAATATAAAAATATCAGTAAGTAATTTGCATTGGAAAATTGGTTGGAACTTTTTTCCCTAATTTTTCCTCACTGACCATTTCACAATTTGGACAGAACACCATTTTCATTTGACAAAGTGAGTGTCAGTAGATGATGTTATTCTTTGGAGAACATAAAGCCAAAGAAGCATACCAGATTAACATAATGAACATGGAAATAAATGGAGCTTTGAGTTCTAATAATAATAATATTGGCCTCTCCATGTAGACAACAGAATAATTAATACATTAACATTAATTTCCTTAAGACTTCCAATTGTTTGATATACTAAATTTATAGAAAAACACATAGAAATCATAAACTTCCAATTAAAGGAGGAAATTAATTGTCATAAAGCTGTGAAAAGAAGCACTCAGTATATTTTCATAATTATCTGTGTTGGAAGTCTGTACTTTATTGCATCATAGAAACCTTACTGCTAACTTGTAAGTCTGAAATGAGTTTAGGGTGCCACTAATGTAAATTTTAGTTATGCACTGTGTATACTAAGAATAGTTCTAAATTAACTCTAACTTTTAAAAAATGCTTTTGTTTTGTGAAATGTGCAGTCATAAGTTGAAGAAAGAATCATTGCTTCAAAAAATAGAAGGAAAATATAGTAGGACATATTACTGGTCTCAATTCTTCACTGCTGCCAGTATTAAAAGTCATTTGTCATGACACTTTGCAGCTCCACCCAGTAAAAGAGTTACCATATTTCCCACCTCTTCACTTTTAGTTCTACCACATGACTTACTTTGGCCAATAGAATGAGGAGGAAGTGATGCTGGGCAATTCCAAGCCATCATCACTGTTAGGACATACTTAGACATGTGAACCAAAGTGGCCCTAAGATGTCATAGCCAAATCTGACTTAGATCAGAGTCCCTAGATGACCTATAGATACGTGAGCAAGCCTAGTCAAAACTGGCAGAGCCCAGGAAGATTAGCTGACTCCAGCTTGTCTGCTGATTTATGAGCTCCATAGGAGAACACATAGACAGAAGCAGAATAGGGCAATGCAATAAATGTGAAAATAAATGGAGCTTTGATTTCGTAATATTGGCCTCATTATGTGAATAAGAGTAGAGGAGCTAATACATTAATTTAATCTAGTACTTCAGTTGTTTGCAATTATGCAGTTTCAGATAAGCATTCAGAAATCCAAATCTTAATTTTAAGGGGTGAAAGGAATGTTTATTTAAGCCAATTAATTTTGGGATAGTTTGTTACACAGCATTATTTAAATGATACAGAAATTTACTTTTTTCTATGCCTAAACCTATTTGTGAAACATCTCATTCTACTAAATGCAAAGAGATATGAATTGCAATAAGAAAAAATAGTTATCACTTATTTCCTCTTTACTAAAATCTATTATATACCTTTGAAAATAATTTTAATATCTATACTAACATTAAAAAAAACTTTTAAAAAAGTGAATAAATTCCAAGTTTCTTCTTCACTGTTTAGCTTTACCCATTTCATTGAGATAGACATGTTCTACAGTTTTTTGTGACAAATTTGTTATTTTATTGCAAAAGTAAAGACAGAGTTGAAAGCAAAAATGTTACTAATATACTGAATAGAAATTTTTTCCCCCACAAAGGTGGGAAAAAAGCCACATTAAAAAGTAAAAAGCATGAAACAAAATAACTATTTTGCTTCGGTACTAAAATGACTAAATTTATGAAGGAAGACCTTTTTTGGTTGACACCATGTAAGAAAGGATTGCACTACCATCATTTATGCTGTAAATCAACGATTGGGAAGAAAGTAGATTGTAAAGAAAATGCATCCATGGCTAAAAATACACAATATAAGTTTTTCACATCAGGGTGATTTAATTTGCGTGGATCAGTCCAAATCAATAATTCGCTGATTCATACTTACAGCATCATTTTACTTTGTCAAGTCAAAAATATGAAACAAGCAAACAAAACATAATGGTTTGATTCTAGAACTTCAACAAGTTAGCTATGGTTTCCTTGCTCTCTTAAAACTAACTTATGACATATTAATACATCTGTATAAGAAGTGTATTAACAAATGTTCAGTATTCATTAAATCACTAATTTTTTGATTATAACTAAAAATTGAGAATAATAATAACTCCATAAATAATATTAAGTAACAATAATGACAATAACAACAAAAATATCACAAATAAAGCACCAAGCGACAGCAATAAGAACTATAACGGGAGCTCCCGTATTTTTATGCAAATAACACGTGCCTTCTGCTTTTGTTTGCCAGCCTCGCCTCTCCCAGTGTGGTATTTTCGTAAGTGCGATGAGCTAATTTTTTACAGCAACATGTGAAAGAGGGTTGGCATGGTGGTGCTTGTGAAGGTGCCTCATGGGGGAGGGCACGGCTGGCAAACAAACAGAGTGTACATGTTATTTGCATTAAAACATGATACTATTTGGTGAACCACTTGTAGGTGCCAGTAAATGTGCTAAATGGTTTCAGATTCTTTCATGAGAACACATCCAAATTTTTAAACAAAATTCAGGCCATGTTGGGAAAAATCTTGGAGGAACCTTATTAAATTATGTTACTGGAGTATGTGAATGAAAGTATTTAGAGTTCACAATGAGTTGAGAGATATGAATAATACTAAGTGAAAAGGAAGGAGAGGACCAAAATAAGAATAGAAATGAAACAGTAGCCTCATGATAATAATGATTATGGCAAATATTGAGTAGACCTGGTAACTTCTAAGCAATTACTTTTATTAACTTACTGATTCCCATGAATCACCACCTGTCTGTCAGTTTGTTGTCCTGTGGTGGCTTGCGTGCTGCTATAATGCAGAAAGCTATGCTAACGGTATTTCAAATATCAGCAGGGTCACCCATGGCGAACAGGATTCAGGGGAGCTCGAGGCTAAGAGGGACTAGAAAAAAAGGATTAGCGATCTATTTCAAGAATTAGCCTGAAAATCCTATGGGTCACAACAGAATATTGTGTGATAAAGTGCTGGATAATGAGACTGTAGGTCGGTAAGCATTCAAAACAGACAGTGAATACTACGATGGACTCAGATATACCAAAGATCATGAAGACGGCACAAGACTGGACATCTTTTCATTCAGTTACACAGGGGGTTGCCAGGAGTTGGAGCTGATTGGATGGCAATCAACAACAACAATCCCTGTGAAAATAACTTATTTCATAAGACACAAATGAAGATATTGGTACACAGAGAAGTTAACTATCTTGGTCACCAAGGTGATGAGGTTAGCCTCTGAACTTCATTTGTCCAGCTCCACAGTCCACAATTTTACTCATGTCAACAAATAGGAAAAATTAAAAAAAGGAGGAGGAGGAAGGGAAGTAGCATCCAGTTTTGATAAAGAGTTAAGGTGATCTGGCTCTTTCACCCTGTACTTTTTAAGGCATTTTAAAATCTTCCAAAATGTCTGAAGTATCAAACACAGAACAATGTCACAATGAAATAACGTAAAATATGTCATTACTAAGTTAACTTTAGATGCAATTCTATTAAAAAAGAAGGAAAATCCCTCCAGATGACAATAAATTGAACAAATCAATATTACATTAAGAGGAATGACAGAATCAGACTTTAAGAATTTATCTAATCATATCAGAAAATTATCAGTAAAACGGCCTATGCAACTTGGTTTAACATGGGTAGTTCTGATTTATTTCTTACTTAGGTTTCCTGCTTTCTGGCTATTATGGATTAAATTGTGTCCCCCAGAAAGTATATGTTGTAAATTTTAACCCCTATGCTTGTGGTTAAAATCCCATTTGTGAATGGGTTTCTTTGTTATGCTAATGAGACACTATTAGTGTAGAGTGTGATTTAAGTCGATCTTTTTTGAGATATAGAAGAGCAGACTAACTCAGACAACAAGTAAGCAAGCAGAAATGAGGGGAGATTGATGCCACACCCAGGAACAGAAACTGAAAGGAGACAAGGACTTTCCCCTAGTGCAGACACAGAGAGAAAACCTTCCCCTAGAGTAGGTGCCCTGAATTCAGACTTCTAACCTCCTAAACTGTGAGAAAATAAATTTGTTTGTTGAAGCCATTCACTTTTATGTTTCTGTTATAGCAGCACTGAACAACTAAAACAGTTGCTTAATATTTTTCTGGAATTTTCATTTTTTATCTTAATTATTTTAATTATTAATAGTTGCTTTATAATATGTTATATGCCTTTGAAAATAATTTTTATATCTACAGTATGAAAATAGCTCTTTCTTAAATGTGAGTAAATTCCAAGATTCTTCTTCACCATTTAGTTTTGCCCATTTCTTTGGGGCAAACACATTCAATAGTTCTTAAAACAAACTTGTTATTTTACAGTAAATGTAAAGAGGAAGTTCAAAGCAGAAATGTCATTCTTATACTAAATAAGAATGTTTTCTTTCAAGCAAAGATACAGAGGAAAAAAATTAAAGAAAAATAAACACGAAAAACTTGTTTTGCTTTGGTTCTAAAATGATTCTGCATTAATGAAGAAAGAGGTTTCTTTGTCTGACACCATTTCTGAAAGAGTTAGAGCACCATCATTTTGCTGTAAAGGATGACATCAGTAGACTCCCACTTGGCTATGATGTCTTCTTGTATTGTGTGAAACACAGGGATAAAGGAAACTACTTACTTTAACATGGTTAAATACGAAAGACTAACCATAGGGTCGCTGTGAGTTGGGATCAACTTGACGGTAACGGGTTTAACGGGTAACACCAATAGCACATCTCTTTTCTTTCTTTTTTTTTTTTTTTTGACATTTTCCAGTCTCATTTTAATGAACACCTCTCTTTTGAGCTCAGACTTCTGGATGTTTACTGATAAAATTAAGACACGTGAATACTAGTGGCCGGGGAGCTAACTTCTACTGCCAAGTCATGGTTAGTGCTAATGCTACCAGAATGCTGGTCAGTGGGGCCAGAGAGAAGTAGAAATTGTACTTTTATGAATTTGAAGTATATGTGGATAATAAAGAATAAGCAGTTCTACCATAAGTTTAAAGAGAGTTTCGAGAGAGTAGTGCAAATATTCTTCCTACAGTGGTTTTGCAATATATTGTATGACATATTTGCAATTATTTATAACAGTACCTGAAAATACTTTTTTATCTTGCAATATTACTTTTCTGTAGCAAAGAGATAAAAAGTACATGTACAATGAAAAAAATAAGTATTTTATTTCTTTTTTCAAAACAAATGTTGAAAGACTGTCAACATTTATTTACTAAGGCAATTGTGATTTCACTTCATATTAAGACAACCACTGGCAAATCTGCTAAATAAGCTCGAGGCTCTATCTAACACTTTATAGTTAGTTTAATTAGAATGTGATCCATGATGATGATTTATCATACGGAGCTCCAGAAGGGCACTTAGTTATTATTCTTTGCAATATAAGGTTTTATTTAGATCATATGACTTGTTCTAAATTAAATTTTACCATTTTAGTTTCCAAGTTTTCTTTTCTGCAAATGAAAAATGAAATGAGATCTGTTAATATGGACCCTATTAGAAGAAAATATATCTCAAACAGTTAAATGATGTCATTTAAAGACAGCATCATCGGAGATTTAACACAGGTCAGAAATGTTAAATTATGGTTCAAAATTTTTCCACCAATTCTTGGAATCACAGTAAAGATACTAGCAATTAATCCTGACAATTGACATTATTATGATGTTATTGTAAATTTAAATAAAAGTTACTATTAAACGAGGCAGAGCCAACATGGCACCCTAGACAGAAGCACTATGCTGTTCCTCTGCAGCAAAGACCTGAAAGACTAAGTAAAACAGATAAAAACGTCAATCCTGGAACCCTAAGCATCAAATGAAGGGATAAAGAACTAGACCAAACACTGAATGGAAGAAGAAATGGCAGAAAACAGAGAACGAGTGGAGATCCCCTGCCAATTAACACAGCACAGCATCGCCATCTTGGAACACAGCTAGCAATGACCTCGGACAGGAAGTATGGGAAAGCAACTTCATGGAGCTCCCAATAAGAGTCAGAGTACACAGTAACCAGAGAAACATGATTTCCCTCCCCTTACCCTTCTCATGAGTTGAAGCAAGAACACACACCCCACCCCCTCATCCTGGCAGTCTTTTTTTCTTTCACTCTTCTCTTTTTCCTGCCCACCTACACTGTATGCTACCTCCTCCCCTTCCCACCATACTCCTGCTTTGCCAAGACAGCTAGGGAGACACTGGTCCACTACCATCCTGTGTCTGCTTGGTCCCCATCTGCTGGCTCCAGCCTTGCCACTTTTTTTTTTTTTTTACCTCTTTTTTTTTCATTCTCTTCTGTCTTCTCTTTCTGTCTCTCACCTAGCCTCCCAGATTGTGAGAGAATAAATTTCTGTTTATTAAAGCTATCCACTTGCGGTATTTCTGTTATAGCAGCACTAGATGATTAAGACAGGGAGTGGCTTCAGTTCTGAGTTAAATTGTTGTCTGGGGCCATAGTCTTATGGTTCCTTCAGTCTCTGTCAGACAAGTAAGTCTGGTCTGTTTTTGTGAATTTGAATTTTGTTCTACATTTTTGTCCCACTCTGTCCAAGATCACGTATTGTGATCTCTGTCACAGTGGTTGGTGTTTGTAGTTGGGCACCATCTAGTTGGTTCTGGACTCAGGCTGGTGGAGGCTGTGGTACTTGTGGTCCATTAGTCCTTTGGACTAATATTTCCCATGTGTCTTTGGTTTTCTTCATTCTCCTTTGCTCTGAAAGGCATGGGACCAGTGGATGTATCTTAGATGGTTGCTTGCAAACTTTTAAGACTCCAGATGCTACTCACCAAAGTCAAATGTAGAATATTTTCTTTATGAACTGTGTTATGCCAGTTGACCTAGATGTACTCTGGTCTCTAGCCCTCAGCACAGTAACTTGGTCTCTCAGGGTATTTGTATGTGTCTATGAATTTTCTATTGACTTTGCCTTGGTCATGCTGTGCTGACTTTCCCAACAATGTGTTTTGTCTTTCACTTCACCAAAGTTACCACTTATCTACTATCTAGTTAGTGATAGACTATCAAAGATTGTTTCTTTCTGTGTGTAAACTGTTTCCTGAGTTTTTATAAGTGGTCTCATAAAAAATTGTAATTTTGTGACTTATTTCACTCAGCATAATGCCCTCCAAATTCATGCATGTTGTGAGATGTTTCACAGATTCATAATTTTTCTTTATCATTGCATAGTATCCCACTGTGTGTATGTACCATAAATTGTTTATCCATTCATCTGTTGATGAGCACTTAGGTTGTTTCCATCTTTTTGCTGTTGTGAATAATGCTGTTATGAACATGGGTGTGCATATGTCTATTCATGTGACAGCTCTTATTTCTCTGGAAGATATTCCTAGGAGAGTAATTGCTGGATCATAAGGTACTTCTGTTTGTAGCTTTTCAAAGAAGTGTTGTATCGTTTTCCATAGGGGTTATACCATTTTCTATTCCCACCACAGAAAAGCATAAGAGTTCCAATTTTCCCGTAACCTCTCCAACATTATTTTCTGTTTGTTTGTTTGTTTTGATTAGTGCCAGTAATGTCAGTGTGAGATGGTATCTCATTTTAGTTTTGATTTGCATTTCTCTAATGGCTAATGATTGTGAGCATTTCGTTATGTGTCTGTTAGCTGCCTGAAAGTCTTCTTTGATGAAATGTATGTTCATATGCTTTGCCCATTTTTTAATTGGATTTTTGTCTTTTTATTGTTATAATGTTGCAGTATCTTATAGATTTTAGAGATTAGAACTTTGTCAGATATGTCTTAGCCAAATTTTTTTTTTTCTAGTCTGTAGTTTCTCTTTTTACTCTTTTGGTAAAATCTTTTGATGAGTATAAGTGTTTAATTTTTAGGAGTTCCCAGTTATCTAGTTTATCTTCTGATGTTTG